TGCTCCATGCAGTCCCGGTCCCAATGTGGTGAGCAGCCCTGCGCATCGACTGTGCCTGCCAAGGGTAGATGCTAAGCTGCTGTCGCCTATGGATTTCGTCGAACAGTTACAGCTGGCTGCTTCTTTGAATGGGACTGGTCGGAAAGAGCTTGTAGCCGCTTGAACACGGAATTTGTGTAACTTGTTTGATTTGCGAGTTGTTTTAACACATCAGGGGGGTGTGGTGATATTGAACATTATTGAACATAAAGCGTAGTAGTTTCCATTTTCACCCCTTAAGGCGGAAATCTTTACTGCCAGCGGTTCGTCATCAGCGGCTGATTTTGAAGAGGGGGACTTGTCTGATGATCGGGCGAGTGCCTTTGAACATAAGCAGGTGTTCTCACATCTGTCGCTCGACCACCCTTCAGTCGTTCCTTCGGCGAACCACATGAAAGAGTACATGAGTACATGCGGTTCCTCTGAGCCGACACTTGTATAGTATGTTGCCAAAATCACCATTTTCATGTTCATATTTTCACACGCAAAGGCGTTGCAAAGGTATTCATTGGTGTGCTGCGCTTGGATAGTTCAATGATTTGGGCCTGCTCGTGCTCAGGAAGAAGATGCCTCCAAGCCTTGCGCCTGTGTTTGGAGATGCCAATCGGCGTAGCATGGCGTAGCGACTTGTTCCGTATGTGGATGCAGCATGCGCAGGCATAACGTCGTATCTCACGTGAGCTTCTTTGGACCTGAGCCTTATGGATCCGAGTGGGGCCAGCGACGTGAGCACTGTGGTGGTCCAAGGCGTGAAAGGCCCCCTATGGTTCCCACATGTTTTCCGTTTTCATATGTTTGTGAGGGAGACCAGAACAATCAATGGCCTTGGAATACCTAACTGCTCTCTGGTGTTGACAACCTGTGTCACGACATAGGTTGCTTTTGGAACATGATGGAGCTGCTCCAAGCAAAACAATTTGCTTCGAGCTGGAGCTGACAATATACTAATTACTTGTCTTGGAACACACAACTTTGTCAAATAGTTCAAAGCGTTCAAAGCTGGTTTCCAAAATATCGCTTCCGCTATATCGTTCAAAGGCTCAAAGGCCCAAACAAAATCGTGTTTCGTTGTGCACTATAGAGATTGCTATGAGCGCCCAAACTGATCCTAGTCAGATCAATGTGTCGGAGATTATGGGCAACTTGTCTCAAACATGGGGTCATGTCTTAGTGCTTTTTGGGACCCCGTAAATTTGAGTTGAGCTTTTAGGAACCGATTGGCCTATGGAGATGCTACCAACATCGAAATACATCTACTCCATTGGCGTTCATGGTGAGAAGAGTCCCCTTTCTGACGCGGATGAAGAAATTCAAGCTTTAGCCAAATGGCTCTATGCTGCCAATGTGCTGAAGACGGTGGGCCCGGAGGTAATTGTGAGGGAAGAACTTTGCTTTATTGTGACAACGGATGTGATTTTTTCGAACCCATGGGAAGCCCGCCTCCAGTGCTTCGATGTCCGAGCGCAAGAAGACATAGTGGTCTGCTTTCAACTGGCAGCGCCATAAGACGTGGCATGTTTGGAAAACTTCGTTGTTTGAGAGAGAAAGTGCGCGGTGTGTCGCGCCGCTTCAAACTCTTAAGCTTTCACTTGGCAGCGCCATAGGACACGACATGTTTGGAAAACACTTCATTGTTTGAAAGAGAGAGAGAGAGAGTGGTGTCCTGTCAAAACAAAACTTAACTAAAAACCTCTCTACATGTGCTGTGTACATGGTTTCTATTTTCTTATCAAGGCAGCGTGTTTCCTCCACCATAACAAGAAATGCGTTTCTAACCTTTGTCCCAACCCGACCTTCCATGCCTTGGCCAACAACGCTTTCCGGGCAGGTCCTCCACCCAGGCGGCAGAAAGAACAATGATGGATCGATCGCTGGTCCGGGATCTCATTATGGGATGCGTCGCGGGGAGACGCTCGAATCACCGCCAATGCATTTGTCATTGAATGTATCTTTTGTGTTAAGAATCGTACATAGACTCACGACGTCGATCGTCTTTACGGCTCTGCGACAAGGAGACTTGCAAACAACACCATGTCAACATTCTAACTATTATATACATGACCATGAGTTCACATACACGCTCGTAGTTCTTCATGTCATTTAAAACAGTATTGCTGCTTGCCATTCCATTCCTGATCATGGAGCAAGCGGTCCATGACTGCATGCTTGAGCTGATTCGCCTTGAATCAACAGCTGTGCATATCTCTATGCTTATTCAGGCCTTTGATGATGCGTACGATCGGGTCTGCGACATTCATACCGTCGATTTTGATCGTGCTCAATGGGACTCTTTTCGTGACACGTTGGTTGCTATGCAGCGCATGATGTTCCACCAGCAGCACCACTATATGGCGCGGGCGCAAGCCCTGATGCAGCAGCATCATGAGAACAATCAGCATCATGAGGACAATCCTTCAGGTCCATCGGGTCCTTCCACTACGGGTCAGTCGAATCAGAATCCGCCCAACACAGATCCGGCCAATACTTGAAGATGAGTTTTTGTCCATTTGATGCTTTTTTGAGCATTTGCTGCAGCCTGAAGTATTTTGGGAGGAGCTCAGACTCGAGCTGGTTCCTATTGGCACGAGCCTCCAATTTCGGTGCATCAATGGTTTCACCCGCTGAACTAGGGAATCACAGGAAAAATCAGAGCCGATCTTCGATGCCTGATCTTCGACGCCCGGTGTTTGATTCGATTATCGGTCCTCGATTGGCGGTTCATGTTAAGACCATGTTTTCCGTTTACCGCTTTTGACGTTATCGTTTCTATTCCATATCGTTTTGTAGTACCTTGCGACTAACTGCAACATCTGTAGCTATAATTTTGTATACATAATACATGTGTGTGCACTGTGAACATCAAGTGTGGAACCTTGCAAACATTTGCAGACACGAAGACATAAGCGCAACGCATTCCATTCCAATTCAATCCATACTAGAAGCCCACGCAATAGCAACTCAGAAAAATCATCCCTGACTTTTTGATAAATTACTGTCCATGGAGACAAGCTCGATATTCCCGATCCTTGACTCTCGGTCCTCGGTTCTTTGTCTTCGATACCGGATTCACGATGCACCTCCTCTTCCGAGGTTGCCTTTCGATCTGAGCCAACTGCGAGGGCGATTGGCCGCCTTCAACGCAAGGCAGGCGACGGAGACTTTCACAAGACTTGCAAACTCTCAATGACTCAGATCACTCCGCACCTACTACGTATCCCTGGTTCGACCCTCCTATAGTTAACTGTCTACAGAAGAAGCTCTGGAAAAAAACAAGTGACCATTTAGGACGTAGTTTGTTGTTCAATCTTCCTCTTTCCATGTTGATCGATGCCAGTTTTGCATAAGCAATCATAAAATCCGTGCCACATTTGCAAGTCGATACAAGTCCCCGAGTCGCAGGGCTGGCCTGTCTGTGCTGAATAGGAACTCGTCACCTTACTGGCAGCGAGAATGTCTCCTTTGGTGGGAATGGAGCAGAGTGGTCTTTAATCAACTATAGAATGAACATAGAAAACTGCTCACTTGATTGGGAGGCTCATTGGCACAAGGCAAAGACATCTCTAGCCACATCGCATAGAAAAAACAAGATGATCTTGGTGTGGATAGCCTCTCTCATCATTCTCGCCCCTTCCCACGCCAGGAACAGACCACCTTTGAAAAAAGCATGTGGAAGGATTCCTGCGTAGCTCCCAGAAGGGCCAATGTCGTGATTTTTCACAACATGGATTCCTCCACCAACGTCTCATCAGGCGTTCGAAGGTCGTGAACTATGTGGGCCAAGGCATGCCTTGTAACACAAATTCGATCAGCAGGAACACGAAAAGGCTCAGAACTCAGAGCCAAAATCTCATGGAGGCCTTGACCCATGTAATTTCATGTAATGAAAGCCAATTTCTTTATATTTTGTGAAGCGATTGTCGGCGATGCTTTGCTTGGGAAGGTAGGGCCTGCTCTTAGACAACTGGCGCCGCAATAAATGGATTCTAATTCCCCCTTGTACATGGAACCTCCATCTTCTGGGCATTGGGTTAATATCATCAAACACCAGTGGCCGAAGTCGATTGCTGAGTCTCCAGGCTCACATGAAGCCGCGTGGGCTCTCAACCGCACCGCCGCGCCGGAAGTTCGCGAGAAAAAAAGTGGTTCATGAACCGACCTTGAAATCGTTTCACTGGGAAGCGTTTCCTGTGCTAACAAAAAGCTTATTAGAAGCGTTCTAGTCACTAAAAAGATCTAAGAAACTTACTAGTAACTAGAAGCTTCCTTAGGAATCCTCTTGGCAAGCAGATCTTGAACCCCCATAGTTTGTTGTAACTTCTCACTAGAATCTATAGTTTACGCATATTCTATTCTTGAAAACATGAACGGCGAGCGTCGGGCGAGCGTCATGAAACCTGTGACAAACAAAAAACAAACTCTACAAACATGGTTTATTTAATCCGCGTGCGCGGAATTATCTTCATGTATGTAAGTGTTTTCTTTTAGGAATATATGAACATGCGGGAAAACGTGGAGCGGGTAGGGCCTGTGAAACAACACGTCCTGCTTTGAGTGAAACCAGATGCGTTTCCACCGTTTACATGATTAAGAGTTTCCTTTCTGGAGAAAGGTGTTTTGTGCTATTTTTTAAAGAGTGTGTGATTTTCCTCTTTAAGGATAATTCCGTGCGCACGGTTTAAAGAAAAACCTTTTGCAGAATGTGTGTGTGTGTTTGTTTGCATGTTGCAGGCTTCACGCGCTCCAATTTCTATTCCCCGACAGCTAAGGCAACGGTTTGTGGTATTGTTCGCTGTGAATGGTGGCCCGACCACAAAAACAAACTTTGTGACGACCTTTTGAAGAGAGTCTAGGTGCAATCACTGTCCTGTCCAACATTGTCATGGTTGTGCCAACATGCAGTAGCGGATCAAATTTTGATGGTTTAAGTTTTAATGACTTTGGTGCCGAAAGACCTTCTCCACTCACGATGCCTGCGTAACTTGGGACTCGGAGCCTGCTGGTTGGCCGTCTTCTTTAGCTGGCGAAGGAGTTCTTTCATCTCTTCCATGAATCTGCAGTTCCTCCCACGCGTCCATCACGATCTGCAACGGCCACTTGTGGGGAAGCTCCTGATGCCAGCTCGCCAGCAGGCTCAAAGCGTGCTCCTTTACCTCCAGCCATTCCATGCCGTAGACGACGGACCAGATCTGGTTTTGCCTCTTCACTCTGGAGATCCACTCGTCCAGTCTTGTAGGCGGTGCCGGTCTCTGCTCCCCTTGGCCCTTCAAATCCCGAGCTTCGGACGCAAAGGCATCGAGCTCCGCGTCGGTCACCTGGATGAAGTCCGCAGCTGTGAGGGAGTGTCGGTCGGTCGTCCCCGAGTAAGGGCGAGAGAGGCCAAACGCTAGCCTCGTCGAAATTTTTTGTCGGTAGCCCAGAGCCCGCAACTTCGTAGAGGCCCCCACTTGAGCAGCTAACAAAGCATTGGCCAAAGCCGTGCCCACGTCCCCAGGGCATACCTTCACATCGTACTGGTCACAGGCTCTCATCAGGAAAACCAGTTCTTCTGATTCCCTCCCCAAACCCTTGACAGACCCCGGTGGATGTTGTCCCGAATCTTGTTGTGCTCGTACCAGAGTCGCTATCTCTGAGGTCTCTTTCTGGATCGCCTGCGTGAGCTTGGCCATGGGGTCAGAGGTTTCCTCCCGTGCTCCTGCCTTGCGGTCAGTGTCACGACCGAAGATTCGAGGGGCCCCAATGAGCAGGTTGCCCATGCCGCCCTTTTCCACCACTTCCGGACTGGAAGGCATTGAAGGGTCCAGGGGTTTCTGGGGACACCGCATTTCAGGAACTGCTCAGCGTGGCAAAGCGCTTCAGGACGTACTGGGAGCTGTGGGTCTCGCACAACGGGATCGTGTCCTGCTCCCCGAGCTGGTCCTCCTTGAGAAGTGAAGTTCGATCGCGAGCTTGTTGGCGGCAAGGTGCGGAAGCTAGACGCTCATCACCACGTTCATTACTCCAAAACACGCGATGAGCTTGGCAAGGTTCTTCATCACGTTCAGACTCGGAGCCCAAGTCTCTCACCTTTGTGACCAAAGTCTTCGAACCCCCAACCGCCCATTGCCAAGCTCGGGCGCCCCAAGTTCGTGCTTCCTGGTTGGCCTGATGGAAGTTGAAGCTCTCGAAGTCCACCTTCTTGGTCAGCCCGTACACCTTGAAGTGGTAGCCGGGCTCAGAGCAATCATCACTCCTGCAAAGGTGGACCTTATCCACCCCGGACAGCTCTCGGAGAAGGGACTGGGATCCTCTGAGCGTGTCGACCTCGGTAGACCCCGCTAGACCTTATAGGGTGCACTTCGCTGGAGACCTTGAAGACCGCGGTCATGTCGTTCTGTTTGACCACCACCCACTTGTCCACCGTTGCCTGGTACTTGAACTTGCGGAGCTCAGTGGTCTCAGGTAGCTGACCTGTTCCAGGGCCGTAGTAGTCCGCTTCGGAAGCCTCGGGTGTTCCCCCCAACCACTTCTGCACAATGAACACCATGGCCCCCAGGCCGCGAAGTAGCCGACGTGCCAGCCAGATGACGGTCACCACGATGGCGCACATCAAAGACACCACCGGCCAGCACACCGCCCAGATGTAATGGGCAACAATGCAGCAGCCCAACAGGATGCAGCACTGGCGCTTGCACCCGTTCCTCACTCCAGCCCATGCGCTGCCGAAGCAAGCCCATCCTAGCAGGCTGAACAGGGTATCTGCCAAAGTCCAGATGCCCCAGTCGAACCCGCTCTCGGTGCCAACCTCTGGGATAGCCGTGAGCCGGTCAAAACCATTCTTGACCCCTTCAGTCCAAGGGGCCATTGAGGGCAGCCACTCGTCAGCCTTCTCCTGCCACCACGTCCGAGATGGGGCTGGTGACGGTGGGGCGGAGGCATTCCACCACCCCTGGTTCGAACCGGCCAGGACCGCCGCAGTCACCAGTCTAGCCACCCCCATGGCAGCGCCGGAAGCCCTCACCGCAAAAAGGGTGCACTGAAGCACCACTTGAACCCCAACGGAAACCAGTGTGGGCACAAGCTGGCTCAAAAGCGACGCTTTCCAAAGCTTCTATTTTTGGTAAACCAGGCGAAACACAAATAGTCAGGAAACTCACCACTAGTTGATGCCTTTGTGCCACGGCCACTTGTATTTACACCACAAATTAAAGCATGTCAGTGTGATATTGCTAGTGGTGTACCTGTTGTAGATTGCATACACTGTGCCAAAGAAACATTCTTTGTGCACCACATGCCAAAGTAATCAAAGCATTGCAGTGTGATATTGCTAGTGGTGTACCTGTTGTAGATTGCATACACTATGCCAAAGAAACATTCTTTGTGCACCACATGCCAAAGTACAAACCCCACATGGCCATTCCCCCACATGTGACACCAACCCTTTTTTGCTGTGCATGAACCTTGTTGCTAGGTTCTGCCTGTATGGAATGCAAATGCCACAGCCCCACCTGAAAGCAGCCAATACAAACAATAGACAAATAACAGTTAGCCTAGCTAGTGAACAACTAAACAACAGTTAGCCTTTCTAGTGAACAGATAAACAACAGTTAGCCTTTCTAGCTAAACACAACTGCAAGGCAGTGGCAAAAAGCATTCTGCAAGAACCAAATGCTGCACAGAAAGGTGACACTATGCTAGAGTGCCTTTTGTCAAGGGTTGCTTTTGTCAAGCTTCTTTTTGCTAGCGTTTGTCAAGGGTTGCTTTTGTCAAGCTGTTTTGCTAGCTTTTGCCAAGGGTTGCTTTTGCCAAGCTTCTTTTTAGCTTGTGTCAAGGGTTGCTTTTGTCAAGCTTCTTTTTGCTAGCTTTTGTCAAGCCTTGTCACTGCCAGTCAGTCCTCATCCAGGATAGCCTTTGCTGCAGCCCTGAAGTCCTGGAAGCAGGCTCTCACAAAACCTCCCCCAGACTTAGACCATTTACCCACAATTGGGTAGGCCTTGATGCCTTCTTTTTGTCACCACGCATATATCCAGGTTGTCATCGGTAACTTTGCTGACCATATTTTGCAGGCACCATCTGGCTTCCCCTTGAAAGCCACACTGGCTCCATGTGAAGCTCACACAGGCCCAGCCATCCCAGACAGACCAGGCCCATGCATAGACCTCTTGGCTTCTTTGGTAGCCACAGTAGCTGAGCAAGTGCACCTCATATCCTGAATCCTTCAGTTTCTGCAGCCACTCAGTGTTCTTCTCATCATAGTAGTTGTTGATCTGCAGCACCTTGTGCCAATCCACTGCTACCTTCTTTGCATCGCTCATGCTCAGTTCCAGGCCTGGCATGTTTCTGTCATCCTTCTTTGTCTTCTTTGGCTTGGGATGTGCAGGTGGAGTTGGAGACCTGGAAAAGCTATAGGACCCCTCTGAAGAAGAGCTGCTGCCACCCCAGCCTGCCTGTTCATCACTTTTTGCGCATTTCTTCTTCCATTCCTTTCCTTTTGTCAAGGACTCCTTTTGGGACTCTCTTTCTGGTGGCCCAAATTCTTTGGCCACCTTGGCTTCATTGTTCTTCTCACTTCCCTCCTTTAGGCTAGGAAGGTCATTGTCCTTTAGGCGTGCCCTCTTCTGCCTTTTGGCTGTATGTGTCCTCTTCTTTGCCTCACCTTTTGGCTAGGTGTCTCCTCTTTTTCTGTAACCTTTTGGCAAGGTGTGCCCTCTTCTGCATTTTGGCTAGGTGTCTCCTCTTTTTCTGTAACCTTTTGGCAAGGTGTGCCCTCTTCTGCCTTTTGGCTGTATGTGTCCTCTTCTTGCTGCACCTTTTGGCTAGGTGTCTCCTCTTTTTCTGCAACCTTTTGGCAAGGTGTCCCCTCTTCTTTGGCAACCTGTTGGCTAGGTGTGCTTTGTTCTGGCTTCACCTTTGGGCTAGGTGTGCTCTGTTCTTGCACCACCTTTTGGTTGTGTCCTTTGTCTCTTTCTGTTCTGCTGGTTCCTTTTGGCAAGGACCTTGCTTCTTCTTCTGCCTCTTTGAGGAAACTTCCTCCTCAGCTGCCCTCAGCATCTGCTGTGTAGCTGCAGCTTCAGCAGCAGCTTTGTCAGCCGTCTCTTGAAGGCTTTTGGCCTTTCTAGCTTCGGCAGCTGCCTTCTCTTTCAAGGCTTCAGGGTCACCCAGGAGAGCCTTCCTGCCCCTTTCTTGGGCTGCTGCCTGAATCCTTTGCTTTCTAGCGCAGGAAGTAGTCCCACTTCCACTGAGCTTCCACTTGTTGTTGTAGCCACCCCAGTCCCCCATGACTGTGCCTTTTGGCAAGGCAAGCTAGGTGGCAAACAGTATGTCCTGTCTAGCTATATGTACTCTTGAGCCAAAGCCCCTTGTGAAACACTGCCAACCAGCCCTAAACAAGAACACTAATGCACAACAAAGCAGGGAAGCGCATGAACAAAAACTAGGAAACACAAGAAACCACAACCAGAAAAAACATCACAAACACAAACCCAACCCCCTTCCTCCACCTCAACTAGCTTTTTTTCAGCACACCAGACGGTGAAGGATTTGGAGCCGTGGCTCAGAGGGGTCGCAGAGCAGGAGATGCAGGATGATGGGGACATGAGGGTTCACATCTCCGAAATGTTGTCCCTGGTCGCTTTCATGTGCGAGAGGGGCCCGATCTGGCGGGGCAAGGTGGTGCTCTATTTGTGGGGGACAACTCCACGGTCAGACAATGGGTGAGTAAGCGCCAGAGTGGGTTAAGGGCTGGAAGGCTACTGGTTCGCGCGCTGAACTTGTGCGAGATGAACTATGGCTTCACGCTGGTTGGGGGCTGGTGGAGGACCTACCATAACGTCGACTCCGACTACATCACTCGGTGCACCGACGAGGAGTTTGCGGCGATGCTGGAGAAGAAGAGTTGGACAAAGGTCGAGTTGGGTCCGGCTATCTCCAAGGTCACTGAGGACACAGCCCGCTTCGGACCTTGCTTCCTGTCGTGGCATGACCCGGAGGATCGCCAAGTGATGCTTCAGTTGAAGGAGAAACGCCTCAAGCGCTTCATCGACAGGCCGGTGGGAATCCCATGGGAGAAGCTGAACGTCATCGAGCTCGCCAGCGAGGATAGATGGCTCAAGGACTTCGAGAGCCTGGTGCCCAGTCAAACCCAGGTTAAGGGCAACTTCACCATCGTGGTCGCCACCTTGCCGGTGGATCTAGGCACCACCCTACATGGTGAGGGGGTGCCTTCCAAAACATCTTTAAAAATCCGACCTTTTGGCAAGGATTGCAAGCTTTTGCTTTGGTTTCCCTTTATGTCAAGGGCAAAGCTTGCCTTTATGCAAAGGCTTCTTTTGGTGTCAAGGGCAAAACTTGCCTTCATGTCAAGGCTTTTTTTATGCCAAGGTCACAGCTTGCCTTTATGTCAAGGCTGCTGTTATGCATGTATGTCAAGGCTTCCCACCCTTTTGCCAAGGGTTTTTAGCGCAGCTTGTCACTTCTTTCTCTGCGCTGCAGCTTGCTGAGCCCCATTTTCAGGACATCTTGGTGGATGCTCTGAATCACCCTTTGTTGATGGATTGTCCTCTTCTTTGTCACTTCAGTCAAGAGCCTATACTTGCTCTTGGCATCAGCCTGTGCAGTGATGTATGCCCTTTCTGGCTTCTTTGCATATGTCACCTTCACCTTGTACCATTTCTTACCAACAGGCTTCACATCCCCATTCCCTTTTGTCAAGGGATCCTTTTTTGTTGGTTTCAGATCTCCATTGCTTGCTTTCTTCCCTTTTGTCAAGGGTGGGTTGTGATGTGTTGCTGGCTTCTTCACCACACCCATGGCTTTTGGTTCCGATGCCCAGAAGATGTCCGGAATGTCATCCTGTTGCAAATTTTGTAGGCGCAGCTTGGTTGAAGGCCCCCAAAAATGCAGCAGGTTTGTCATGATGTGCACTCATCCAGCACCACATTCTAATAACAGTATTGGCATAACAGCGGTTGCCCTTGTTTCTGATATTGAGCGTGAGATTGGCCGCAAGCAATTCATTTGCCGGTGGCATGTCCAAGTCTTGAGTGACCAGTCTGGTCAATTGTATACTGCTTTGCAACGCAAACCGCATTCGTAGGATGTGCTTCAAGGCTTCTAGTCCCCACACTCTTGTTTCAACCATTCCATACTCACTGTCATCTCGACATTGGATTGGCAAGGCTCAAGAGCTCTGGCTTGCAGGGTGGTCAGCCTGTCTTGAAGCAAACCTGGCAGTGTCATTTCCACTTCCTTCTCATCATCCTCAAGGATATAGTAATCATCTTGGTCATCCTTGCCTCCACCCAAGAGAGTAAGCTGGGGCCCAACATGTTGCAGGTCAGGCTCGCTAGTTGGGGCCATGTGAACGTGATCAGAGGTCCCGCTGGAAGCAGGTCTGAGTTTCCTCAGCCGCTCTGATCTCCTCAAAGGCAGTGCCTCTGTCACGTCCAAGCCCATTCCACAAGCTTCGGCTGCGTCATCCTTGTCACTCCGCACTGTTCTAGCCTCCATTGGCTTTGCATTGGAGGTGGCAGCACTGACAGGCTTAGTACTCACACTGGCCTGCCCTGCTGATATTGCAGGGGAAGATGAATCGTCAAGGGTTTCTGAGCCCCCGTGACCTCGGAAATTTTGCCCCGACCGGGGCGCACTGTCAACATCTTCTGCGTGCTTGCCCTCAAGAACGGCAGATATATTCAAAATATCTGTTTTTAGGCCTCTGTGGTGCCGATAGTGCGGCCCAGACCGGGCCGCATCGTCAACATCTTCTGCACCCATGCTCTTGACTGCTGAGCCCCCGGAGTCGACATCACCCGAGGCTCTACAGCTGATGAAAAACCAACATCAACACCCAAGTCAATGCCAAAAGCGCCAGATTCATGCACTGACATATATGGTGTGTCATGGTACCCCTCGACGTTCACATACGGCTGCATTCCTTGATGACAAAATTGCACAAATTCATCCACAACGTTGCAATCAACTCCTGTCCAAGACTCTGCGCTCACATCTGCACCCGGCATTCCCCAAGCTGTGTGGGATGGTGCTCCCTGATGCCAAACACTCAAACAGTCCCAAACCTTTGAGTAATCCCCTGGGCTTGCGGTGCCAAGCCCTGCCATGCTATTCTCATTCCTCCAGGGCCCCATCACTGCAGGAAAATCCCATTTGCATCTTCTTTTCCAACACGTCTGATGTTACCCACTCAACTGGGCTTCACCAGTCTTGCGGCGCTTGGCCAGGGTTTCAGCCAAATTGCGCTCCAATTCCTTTCGCTGGCAGAATTGAAAAGGATACCAGCCTGTCCCAAAGCCTTCAAAACATGCTCCGTGGCATCTGTATCCAGGACATGTTCATTGGGCGGTGAGAAGGGCACAGCTTCCTCCTTCAGCTGCTTTGCATAGGCCTCGGACTGATCACCCAACTGCTTGTGCTCCTTGTCAATGGCTTCTTGCACCCCTTTGAGTTCCTCAAGTAGCAACTTGTAGTGGTCCTTGGCCATATCCACTTTCCGCGGCAAAGATTGCTTCTTGGTTGCCAACTGTCGCAACTCACCCACCGTGGCTTTGAGCTGCTCCGTGACATCAATGGTGGCTGAGGGAGCTCGCTTAATGAGTCCAACCACAGCCTCCTTCACTTCCTTGGAAGTGAATCAAGGCGGGCACTCAGGTTCTGGGGTGAAGTCAATACCCATGCTCTTCAGAGCCGCCTGAGCTTCCGGCGGCATTGTCCCCCATGCCTTCTTCAGGGTGGATTCGATGGCATTGGGTACTTGCTTGGTCTTTGCTCCAAGGCCTGGCGGTGGACCCACCTGAGGTCGCACACGTCCTCGTGGCTTCCGCACCTTCTTAACGGGGGAGGTACTCTTCCAGTCACTGTCAGCACCAGGCCATGGAGTGCCACATGTGTTACATCCCATCTCTGGGCATTGATGCGATCTGCCCAGATCCAGGATGAGCTGCAGCCCGTACATGCCACATAGCGCCTCCTCGTTCTCACCTTCTCAAAGTCCTGGAAATAGCCCCCCATCATTCCAAGGAACAAACTCGGTGAGGTTCACGTCAATCTCAATTACGAGCAAGGGCAAGGCCACCGAACGGGTAGGATTTACCAAAGGCGCCTTCAAGCAAGTAGACCAATGCCCTTGATCTCGTCAGTGCCCTTGAGCCAGCTTGAGCCAAGAGCTTGAGCCACTTGAGCCAAAATGGCTTGAGCCAATCCATCCGTCTTCTACATCTCTCTCTCTCTCTCTCTTCAACACCTTCTACAATAAGTGTGACTTATTTAATCATGGACTTAATTAATTCTTAACTTAATTACTAAAACGTACTAAAACTTAAAGAGTTGTCTACCTTGAGACGTGCACATACGTGCACAAGCCCTGTGCAGCAGTTTCGGCTGCATCTCGAAATCGGTTTGTTTCAATTTCTGTTCAAAAATGTCAAGTCATTCATAACAAAAGCTGTCGCATGTCTCTCGGCCCCTGACATGCAGATCATTCAGTGATAAGACTGTGGAGGCCTGAAATTGTCAAAGCGCAATGGCATGCTGGGGAAATACGCGCAGTGTCTTGGTAGACTGGGTCATACGAGGCGTGCACAAGGTCTACAGGTGTGGCAGGCAGGGAGCGGCAGGAGCGTTGGGTGCCCAAACGATGACGCCCGGGAAGCCGCAAACGAGGCATAGCTCAAGCCTTCCAGGAGCGAAATGGCAGTTGAACTGCAACTGCTTTTGCTTCTGTTGCTTCTTTTTGCTTCAAATCTGAAGACTTTTCGGATCTAATATGATTTTTTTGAATAAGTCCTTTATATATCATTTTAACCCCGTAGGCTTCCCCTCTCTTCACCATTCGCTTCAGCATTGGGCGCCGACATGTGCACATCTCTCTCAGCTATCAGTTGCTCACACCGCCCAGCCCAGGCTGCCTCCTCCATGGAAGTCTTCACAGCAGCTGAGAGGTGCCCTGTGAGGTCGGGGGATGAAGTTCAACCAGGGCACCCGTGCTTGAGGGCTGCCATGTACAGGGCGTGGCGAATAAAACCGCTTGGTTGTTTTTTACCGCCGGCCCCCATTGCCCGAACCTTGGGACTCACAGCGAGCCGCAGGAGCGACTGAAGGTCCGGAATGTTACCAAACTGGCGGAGCACGTGTGAAATGTGTGCTAAGCGCCAAACAAAATTAAATATGTGTCTGTACAAGGGCTGCTGCGCGCTCACCTACATGAACTATTTTGCAGGTTCTGTTGCTGAGTGATGGGCCTCAAGCCAGGTGAGCATTTCATAGAGAGATGCTGACTTGCCACATTCCTGCTTGAGCCGTTCAATGGAGATTGTCTCCAAAGCCGGCTTCTTCCGATCCATCTCAACCCTGTGATTCTGAGTCTCCACTTCATGCCGCTCTGTCTTGAGGATAAGGTCAGCTGCCCGCTCTGCCAGCGCGAGGACCTCCGGCAATGCAAAGTAGGGCGAAGGTCGGGGGATCACAGAGCCATCCGCAATGCGAAGACCCTGAACGCCGTGTACCCGGAGATTGAAGTCCACCACAGAGTCGCTTCTGTCTGGGCCCATGCGGCAGGAGCCACGGCCGTCATAAACGGCAGAGAACGCATTGCGGCGGCCCGCGCCGTTGCCGATGAAGGTTCCTCCCAAAGCTGAGTTGTTCCACACCGTCATGGCATAGGTAACAGCCTCTTCTGCCAACTTCCAATCCTCATCTGTGAGAGGTCGGTGGGTGAGTACGGGGCTCACATCCGGTGAAGCACTTGGGAAGGTGATCTCACCATCTGCTTCGGTCTCGCCCAAAGTCACCAGGATGGTGTAGCCATTGGTCTGCAAAGGCCATGGTTCGCCCTGCAGCGAAAACTGTAAAGGTGCAGATTCCAATGCCTGGTACATTGGCAAAAAGCTGAAAACCACATCGGATCGGTTCTCTAGAGGCCGCTTCATAGAGCTGAAGGTAGAACGATAGCGGGCGAAAGCTTCCTGACCGGTGCTTTGGTAGGCATCAGGCAACTGACTAGCAATCGGAGAGATGGGTGGGCCAAGCATGTGGGTCAGACTTGGCTTGTCTGTCCGCCACGACAAAGGGCTGTATCGTGCAGACGTGACATGCTTGCCCATGGCTGGGAGGTCATGCAGCACTGGCAAGCCGACTGCATCCAATTCCCTTTTTGGCCCCATGCCCGAGAGGAACAGGAGACGAGGCGTGTAAACATATCCTGCAGACAAGACCACCTCTCGATTTGCATAAATCACATGGTCGGTCTTGGTGGCCAATTCTCGATATACCTGAAGGACAGTTCGTGATGTTTATCTCCATGCATGTATGCGGCTTTGTCTATCGGGTTTCGTTGCACAAACAAACGTTCCAAGACAACGTGCCAAATTGGTTGGTATCTTGAGCTTTCGTCAAGAGTTTGGAACGTGTCAAGAAATCAAAGCCAACAGCTGTCCATGCCCAACCAGTAGCTGTTGGGGGTCAAACTACTTCTTATGGGGTACCGAAATGTTTAATGAAGATTTTTCGGCCTAGGCGCAACCCCTTTGCAACGGTCGCGGTCCATGAGGAGCCTGTCTGCACGAGCCCCATCCAAAACCTTCAAGTTCGGGCGTCCAAGTGCTGGATACAAATAGGCATTGTAGGCATGCACCTTGGTCCCATCCTCGTACTGAGTGGTTGCTGGGAGACCGACGGCCTTGCCATGAAGGGTGTTCAAATCTCCCTTGGGGAACCCAGCAGCTTCGGCAGCTGCAATGAAGTCATTGGTTAGCGGATGTGTGTAGGCGGGCTCCTTGGAGATGTGGTAGACACCCGATGCGCCATAATCGCCGCAACACTTGTCGAAATAATCACGCATCTCTGTCCAGTTCCACCCATCTCCCCATTCATCCAGAATTTCTGGGTGATCCTTGAGGTAAAGCGACAGACCTGGCAATGTGCTCCCCCCCAACCAGCGCGCAGGTGACGAGCCTGTCTTGCTCACTGGGAAAGCTTTCGCAGAGTAGCCCGGTTGAATGATCTGAAGCTGCAGCCCTTGGGTTGCTGTCAAGTTCTTCTTGACAATAAACTCATCACTCAACAGCACTGGCCCATTGTAGGCATCTGGCGGTGTCCCAGCCACATTGAGGAGGAGCACAGACTGCTTGCCAGACTCTGAGAGACGATTTGCCAACACCGCACCTGCCGCTCCACCTCCCACGATGATGTAGTCATACAAGCGATGCGATTTTTTGGCAAAGGTGGTGCTGATGAGAAGCCCAATCACAGCAACCCGCATCATGAGTGGGCCACAACTAGTCAATCTGGACATTCCTGGAGCCAATGGTGGCAGGCTTGCTTCCAATCGGACTGGTCAACACCCCTCTTGCGGCCCACAAGTCAGTTTGCTCATCAAGAATCAGCCAATTCTGTACCTCATGCCAGTGCCAGTAAGATGTAAAGTTTGCACACACTGAGTCCGGGACTTGCGTTCTCGGAGCACTTTCGACATTCAAGGCCTGCGTTGGAAATCATCGGTTTTACACTTCTGACCGTCCGCATGGAAAACATGCCTCACCCTGCAAGAATATATGAACTCAGGGGTTTGGTACATGTGGATACATTTGGAGCTAAGTGCAAGGAAAGATCCCAAGTGGAGCTAAGTGTCATGAGATTTTCTATGGCTCCTTTGGATCCTTTTGGCACCTCAACACGTCAGAGTTGGCCGTCAGAACGACTTGCAACAGAAGTACAGTACATCAACGTGTGACTCATAAGTTGGGGAAGGTCCTGGATCAAGGCACTAGTTTTGAGGATGTTTGTGACAGGGATATGTTGGGATTGTCTTGTCATCTCAATGGCTTGAGGTAAAATGCGACCGGCCAAGGTGCACTGGGGAAGCAGCAGTATAGAGTCTGTTCTCTCAAGCTTTTGAATTATATATAAGCATCTGTCAATATAGTTCGCAAACACCGCATGATCGCACAACTCAGAAGCATTGCAATGGCCATACAAACAGGGCGGCTGACAGAACATTGTCGACAAACAACGTTGTCGCAACCTGAGTAGCATGATATAACATGCATTCTTTCAATTTCTTGCATTCTATGTCCCACCGTCAGAGAAAGTACATGAAGTTCAGATTCCAAGCATGCTCAAGAGTTTACAAGCATCTTCCATCTTCAATTCACTTCACATTGCGAAATCACTGAACCTGAATGGTCGTGGTTTGCTACTGCATGCTCCATCCAAGTTCCCAACACTCGCAGTATTTCGTTTCAATATCTTATGAATCTCTCAACAGAAACAAAAACGGCTTCCCAATTGCCAACTTCGCCATGCAACATCGCATTCGTAGGCTTGGTCAGCTCATCTGGACTCCACTGCGTGCCTTGCAAAATTGGCGGATCTGTCAACTTCGCTTGACCTGCTGAATAACTGATCAAGAAGTCGCATTGGATTGAGTTCGATGCTCAGCGGGACATTTGAGAGTGTCCTCGCAAAGTACAGCAAGATGTGCCGCTATTTCAAGACAGAAAGGGAAAGCCGGCTCTCCTGTCACACTTGCTCATTGGAAAACACACAAATTCAAAGGACAAAACTCAGTTGGATCAAGTTGAACAATAACGCACAAGTTCCACAAGAACTTCGCGAAACCAGCAAATCAGTTTCACAAGAAAATCGATGTGCATTTTCCACTCAGAGCTTCGCTTAAGTCTTCTAAGGCCGTGTGGATGGATCAGTTCGCTTGCGTCAGTAGTCTTCTGCTCATAGAGAGAACTCCGCCCAGGACTTGCCGAATAAAAATCATGCAAACTTATCAGAGAAATCGAGAGTGCACTATCCACAGCCCCACCAATCAGCTCTGGAGCGATGTGGTGAGGAACAAGATGTAGCGAAGGCTCAGAGAGAAAAGCTGCCCCACAGCTAACCTTTAGTCCCCGCCTTCCTTCACAATCTTGCCAATGCAGAAGTCAATCTTCAGCCAGGGTGTGCCTGCAACGAGCTCAAGAAGGAGCAATGATGGAATCTGGACCAGATACATCGTCAAGAAGGGCAAGGGATCGTCGCCGTGCAGCAGAGCATCAGTGCCGCAGAGCATCTCCCAAAGGGACAACTTGAAGCAGTTCTTGTGCTTCCAGAAGCCGGCACGAAGGAAGACCTGATCCATGATCCAGTACTTCAGGGTCTTTGGGCTGGATGTGACGACATCCGCGTCGCTGGGCACGTGACCCTCGTCAGCGAGAGCCAAACCCAGATTCTTGTGACCCTCAAGCGTGCAAACTGCACTGTGGATCCGGGGGTTGCACTCAATTGGCAACATCGCTCCGTCCGAGTTGTGCATGAGATCGAGGGTCAGCTGCCCAGTGAGGTTCATGGCCTTTCCGAGCCCTGCACAGAGGTTCTTCACGTCATCATAGTTCTTTCCCGACTCCTGACGGTACCTGAGGCAGGATGCCGCAGATTCGAAGAATTCAAAGCCAGTCAGCGCTCCCTTGTTATAGAGTGCATAGCAGCCATACTCGGGGTTCTGCAGCACCTCTTGAATCACGTAGGGCACTTGCTTGCTGGCGTTGCGAGACTTGAGATACTCAAGCTGCTTCTCGTCCTCGATTGGCAAGAAGAGAATCTCAGTGCGAGCTTTCGGGTCGTACACTGCAGGCTTGACAATGTACTTCCGGCTGCCCTCACTGGTGCTCTTCCCCTCGAAGAACTGCAAGGCATCCTCAAGGCACTCCATCTTTGCAGTCTCCGGGCATGGCAAACCAGCCTTCACTAGGACCTGATTGAAGGTGAACTTGTTGTCCAACTCGTCAGTGACAGCCGCATCAAAGGCAAATACCTTCACCTTAGCTGGCAGGCGCTTTGCCAAGTGAGCGTAAGCGGAACTCTCCACGGGGGCCGTGCAAGGAATGATCAGGTCGGTGTCCTCCGCCTCCACAATGCTCATGATGGTGCTCTCCCACTTCGCTGGCTCCACAGTGGGCCTCGGCAACACGTAGTGCGCGGACACGTAGCTGCAGAAACACGTGTGGCAGAACTTGTAGGGCATGATCTCAGCAGTCACAACCTTGTGGCCATGGCGTCCAACTGCCCGGGCCACTGCGGAAGCCTTGGACATCTTACCACCAGTGACCAAGATGTTGAGTTTCTTTGGTGTTGGAGCAGCTTTGAAGCTTCCACCGAAGAGTCTGTGCCTCACCCAGGCGGCAAGTGCCCACAGCATCAAAACTGGACTGAAGCCGTACAAGCAGAGCAGAGCAACCAATGTCCTACCGCGAGCAGCCCAAGGACCGGGCTCCGCGGCGACGGCCGCCTTTGCTTCGGGCTTCTGTGTGGCAACCACGGGCGCCGAGGGACGCTTGCGCTGCCTCAGGCCCTCTGGGACTTCTTCATCCTTCTGGCTCGCTGAGGCCAGAATCATCGATGGCATTGGCATACCAGCCAGCCAACGTGATGTAACTTGCAGGATGATTTGAGGATGATTTTTGGATGCTTCAGGATGATTTGAGGATAATCTTAGAATGACATTTTGTATGCCTAGGATGATTTTAGGAAGATTCTAGGATGAACAAAAGGATGATTTGAGGATACATTATTTTTTTTTGTGTTTCCAACCTCTGGCTGGCTGGCCGGCTCATAACGCTAGGGCTGGGGCATGGCTGTGCAAGCAACACCATGAGTTCCAGCTAGTCGAGGTGCGCGGGGACTGGGAGTTTCACAAGCTGATCTGGGAGCTTCCACTATTTTCATGGGTGGGCCCCCTTTATTGGAATGCCCAGCAAGGTCGAGATCTGATGACCCGGGGCTCCTTTATTGGAATCGTGATCCCAGAAGCACGTGGAGAATGCAGGAGTTCACGCACGAAGACTTCATAGCTAAGAGGCTACCACGCAGAAACATATGCACCTTGAATTGCATTTAACTGCCAACAGCTGAAAAGCTCCCATGGTTGGAGAAGTGATGTGTATCTGACTAGGGTCCCCTGGTGAACATTCGTGGGTTCCACGTGAGCTCCTTGAAGTGGTGCCTGATGCACACGGTCCATCTAGGCCTCCTATTTGGCCTTAATGCTGGCTGCTTGCAACTTGACTGACCATGAAAGTGTCTGCCATGAAATGTGCACCTCTTTGGGTCTGTCCTGCATCGCTGACATAGACATAGGTGGTGGCGTGATCACGTTGATGCTCAGGATGCTCCTCATCGAGCGAATGGGATGGTTTGGTGCCGGACCCCTTGCACTTCAATTGGAACGGGCTTATCGTGACTTCTTGCGGTTTGCTAGATTTCACCGGCTTTCTCACAGTCAACTGCCCCTCACACCCAGACTTGTCCCTCGACTAATGAGCCAAAGCTAGCTAGCACCTGGCCCATTGAGGTCATCAAGAAGACGGGAGAACGGATGATGACCTGCAAGGCTTGGAATGGCCGCATCGTTTTGCAGTGGCTATCGGAACGGCTTGCATTGGCTAGCCAAGCGTTCCCACCAAGCTTCGATCATGGTGTCACAGCGCTTGCGGTCACAGCATCGCGCCCTGCTTGCAATGCAAGATATATACTCAAGATCCTATCGATCAATATCCCATATCATGTCCCGGAAGCGTCCTCTGGCCAGATCCATTCTGAGGAAATCCATGGCTCGCTTTTTGTGGCTCATTGAGGGCCAGCCACGCATGTTGTGGCTTGGTTATATTGCAATGCGTCATGGTGCTGGCTATACCATGATCTGAGGTCCCAGGCTACTGCTGGCAAAGTCTTCGATGAAGGCATGCTCTTCTCGTTTCTGTGGCACTGGGCCGCAACGAGTTCATCATGAAGCCGAAGTTTCATGAACCTTGGACGAACTCGCGGAGCAAAATGCTCCGTCTGCTCAGTTGATGTGCACATCATCGCTGACATAAAGAAGTTCAGAATCTTGGCTGATGACTTAAATCTGTCGAGTTCTTGAGTCTAGAGCTTCTCACCGACAGTCCATCTCAAGGCGTGAGTCTGTGGACCTTGGCATGCCCTGCGTTCTGTCTATATTTACGGCCTTGAGACTGTGCATGAAAAGGACTGCCTGTTCTACTCAAAGCCGAACGTCTTCAACAGGCTGCGGAGAAGCTTCGAAAGAAGACATCTCAAGTGAAAACCATTGAAAACCATTTCTTTGAAATGTCAAACTCCAACACGCAGCAACAAGAGAATGTAAGCATAAAGAGCCACCTGGGAGAATAGGCATGTAGCCACTGATCTCAGTTCCGGGCCGGGCTGGAGGACTAGAGCCGCCGAAAGGTCATGGCACCTTCACCAAACTTTCCGAAAACACCTAAAAGCTCAAAGACTAGGAGCGACAAGACTCATAAGCCATAAGCGACACAACCCCTGAACATCGCCCATGCGGCTCTTTTTGAGCTCCTCCGGTCCCGCTTTCCATCTGGAAATGGCTGGCCCGATGAGAACGCATCCATCCACAAAGACACAAGGACCTCTGTTACGATGACGAAAAACTATTGTCCGCATTAAGCTAAGATGACAGTTGGTTGGTCCTGATGTCTACCATGCGACAGCCTTTTGACTGAAAGGCCGGCACGCGAGAGAGGCGGAAAAGGAAGGAACAAAAGATTACTCCGAAGATTGAGAAAAGGCAGTCAGCCCTTACCTCCGCTTCTAGTATTGTCACGCGCAGATTCTGTACACTGTACGCGTTCTGAGCTTCGCAGACCTGAAATTTTGAAAAGATCTTCAAGACTCTCGGTAGACAAGCGTCACGCCGTCCCCTCGGATGTTCGGGAATGAGATGGCGTTAAGAAAGCATGCGCACTAGCCACTTGACGCAAAAGCGCACGGTAAGTGAGCCAAGTGGCTGAGCGGAAGCATCACCTGCTGCACTCGGGGGTCATCAAGTAGGCCCTGATTCAATGCTTGAGCACCCTGGCCGTTCTTCGTGAGCTCAGTGCCCGACAACTCTTCACCCTTGTACATCACGTTGTCCACGACCAGGAGGCCCTTGACCTTCAGAAGGTTCTTATCCATCAGCATCTGATAAAGGCCAAAGTAACCGGGCTTATCGACGTCAAGGAAGACCAAGTCAAAGCTCGTCTTTTCAGCAGCCAAGCAAATAAGCAAATCGTGAGCCTCACCCACTAGAGACTCGATCTTAGACGCATGAGGAGAGCCAATCCAGTTGGCCTTGGCCATATCTTTAGCCTCTTGTTCCCTCTCAAGTGTCACCACTGTGCCATCCTCCGGGATAGCCTCCGCCATGGCGAGAGATGAGTAGCCGGTAAAGGTGCCGATATCCAGGACGTCTTTGCCGCCACTGAGTTTCAAGAGGAGCTGCAGCAACTGAGCCTCCGCCTGCCCTGAGATCATCTCAGCCTCCATCAATCTGCTCGTGTTGCCTTGTCCCATCAGCTCTGCCCACAGCGGATTCGTCATGGCCGTCCTTTTGCTGACGTTTTTCAATGCCTCTGATGGTTGGGAGCTATACTTCGTGACCATCTCATCGATGCCGTCCACGATGCGAGCGGCCTCTCCGATGGCCCTGGCACCTCCGTCTTACTTACAGTCGTAATAAGATTAGAGATCAAGTTAAGACTTGAAAGCTTGACTTGTTTTATTTGCTCCCCGATCTTCTAAGCGTTCACTTTGCCCGGCCTGCTCCGCTCGTACTCTGGCTCGCAGCACCCAGCTGGACGACCACGCGGTCCATAGGGGTCACTACGCAGCGGTCAGCGTCGCGGATCGAATCTTTCTTGCTCATAGGATCTTCAAGGCCCACGTCCACGCTATGCTCTTGGACACCCCGGCCCTCACGAGGATATTTGGAACAGAGCTCTTGGTATTCATGCATCCTCTGATGCAAGAGACGCTCTGGTAAGGAGTTCAAATAGCCTGACTCTCCCAAAGCGCGGGGGATCGGAGCACACAAGTTCCCACCTCGCTTCTCCACGATGCCGATTTGTGCCTTCCACACTGACACGGTGTCTTCCATCACAGGGTGCCACAAGGCCAGTTCGCAATCCGAGATCACCTTCAGCACACGATGCATGTCCACTTCACTGAGCCATCCCTCCTTGTAGGACAAGTAAGCCCCGAAACCCATACAGGTGCCGACGGCGTGTCCATGAAGCATTCCTGATGGCAGTTCATAACCAGGGCTCCAGGTGTGACCATAGGCATGAGGTCGACATTGATGAGTCTCCCACAAGTTGCCATACTCTGCACGGACATATCCCTCCATGGCTTTGCCAATGATGAGGTCGCAAACCTCTTGGAAAGCAGGGTCATCAAGGCCTCCCAAGGTGCCGAAGTTCGTCGCCACCGTCTCCTTTCCCCACTTCTCCATCAACTCGAAGAGATGCAGGTCCGCCATCGCCGCCACCTTGATGATCTCAGCTACTCCATGGCGTAACTGCCCTGGGTGCATGGTCCTCCAGAAGCCGCGATCCGTGATGGTCAGAGCCGGTGGATGATAGGCACCATAGAGGTTCTTGTAGCTAAAGCCATTGCAACACACACGGGGTGAAGGGCCAGCATCAATACCAGCCACAAGAGACGTGCAGAGCATCACATACCTCATTGTGACTCCGAATTTCACAAGACCCAGACTCACATGTCCTCAAGTGTCTAATATTCCTTTTCTTATCCATATAGCTATGTCTCTAAATCTCCTTGAATCCAAGGTGCGGAGTGTTCCTGGAGTAGAGCGCACACGCCATGCCAGCCACATCTGCAATGACGCCGCCGCCGACGATCAGGACGGGCTCATGGCGCGCCTGCCAATTCTCCTTCAGGGCCAAGAGGATCTGCTCGACATTGCTTAAGTTCTTGTCAACCTCGTTGCCACTGAAGACGAGCTTCACAAACTCGATTCCATTAATTTCGAAATATTTCTCCAAGTCAGCGCCAAAGTGAGCTTCCACTTTGTCATCCACCACGGCCACACAACGACCAAGGGGCTTGTAGACGTCAAACAACAGCCTGTTTGAAGGCTGCAACACGTCCCGAGCGATCTTGATGGTCGTAGTGATGGTCGTACTCATCACTGACTCGATGGTCGCAGAGTCTTCTGTGGCCAATGTCAAACCGTCACACTGGCGGTAGATGGAGGTGGGGAAAACTCCATGTGGATCGGCAGCTTCCAGATGGATCGCGTTCTCGCCATAGAACGCTCGCACCGCTTCTGGCATCTTCAAGTCCTGAAAACTCTTGCGCAGTATGCATGGCCATCGGCTATGTCGGCTTTTTGAGTGCCCTCTTCTTACTGCCTAAAAGAGTTCAAGAACCTTCGATAACGGACGGATGATAATGCAGAACGATGGTCCTTGATGGCTACTACGTGATCGTCACTTTCTGCCAATTCCTGCAGTAAGCTTTGGAAAGCAGCTGCATGCTCCAGTCGCAGTTGCTCAGCCAACCTCTCAAGCAAAATGGCCAGGTGACTCTGCGAGAGGCTCCAGAAATACTTCAGCTGCTTCAATACTGAGAGCACGGTGAGGTCATCCTGCACCAAGAAAACCTTACGTCCTTGCGTGGGAACAGTGAATTCTGTGAAGAAACCCAAGATAAGCACCCAAGACTGTCCTTGAAGGCGAGTCCAAACTCGTGTGAGAAGACGGGGAGCCTTGACATCGCCACTAGCAACTCCTTCACTGCTGGGCTTGATAGCAGCAAGAGCATCTTCTGTTGAGCGCTCTCTTCCGCACATCCCTTCAGCACAGCTGCCCCTTCCTCAAGCATTGTTTCAGTCTTTTTGCGAATGTTGCTGGCTTTCATTGCATCCAACTGGTAATAGTTGATCTCCATGGTTCGTTCCCCGCGCCATTCCCTCAAGGTCAGACTCCTTTTCCGGTGCACTGCTGCGACAGCGCCAAGTGCGAAGCAACCTGTCAGAGACTTGCTGAGAGACTCGTCTGGCTGTGTTCGAGCTGGAGCTGCAGGCCTTGCCGCTCCTGAAGATCTTAAGCCATGCTGTGCGCCGATTGCAACGCTGAGTGCGGCCATGGCTCAGTCTTCAAGCAGTGAAACTAATATGGCCACAGATTGAAAGTCCTCCATCAACGGCGTCTTTTCCACCCAACTCCTAAACATGATGTCGGAGTCGGAAACGCACCCATTTTCACGAGGGACGCAGCAAACAAAAACGTCTCACATTCTGCGAGAGCTATACTAATTAAAGCATATTAAAGATCCCCTCCAACATAGAGATCATGTTTGAAATTATTTCCTGGGGCTTAACGTCTGATATAGTCCCAACACAACTATATTGTTGGTTTCCGCAATTTAAAAAAGCGTAGTGGACCTACAGGATTTAATTTGGGGAGTACAAAGGAGGATCATTAAAGCTACACAGGGATCCACACACTCCACAGCCACCACAAAAGCGTTCAATTAGGTCAAAAGTGTCGACTTGGTGCATGAAAAGACATGCCGCGAGCGGCTGGATATCTGTGAGCGAGGTGTGCTTCAGGCCCGTACGACCTTCAGCACACCACGACTTCTCATGCCCATGGCTTGATTGGATGAACCAATGGGCTGATGTTCACGGATCGCTTTCCTTGCTAAGCGGTAGAAGATGTCGGTATCGTTGTACTTCGGGTCACCCCTGGACCTCAGATCTACCCTCACCTGATGACATGGGTCACATGTTTTGGCACGGGTTTGGGTGGCGAAAACTTTGCCATGTACCCGTCACATCAACAGGATATGGAAACCATTCTCTGGAGCATACTCTTGCAAACCTCAATCTTCGACCTCCATCATCAGAGCGCTGATCTAGAGACATGAGCATGTGAGTCTGGATGTCTGGGTTCTTGTGCGACCCCCTAGACCTAGGACTTGCCGACAGTTCATTTTTGATAGAACCCAAAGTTCCAAGATGTCGAACCAAACGATCCAGATGCGACTGTCAAGCCACATGGTGACGATGACACTCTTGGGAGAGAAGGAGCAATAAGGCGATGCTTCAATGAAGAAGGGATTCCCTTCAGGATCGACGCGCACGTCGTAGAGGGAATAGTGGCGACAACCTGACAGGTTTGCCAACTGATATCATGGGACCAACAAGTTGAAGAGGTTATGGTCCAACAATTGAATAGGTTGTTCTGGTATACCAACAAGTTGCGGTCATGGTTGGGAAGCTCTAGGACTTGTCAAATAACTAACGCATAACTTGTGGTACCAAGCAGTTGAATGGCTTATTGTTGGTCTAGGACCTGACCCAGACATGTCAACTTGCAGGTGACTGGGACCTGACAAACGGAACGTCCTGGTTGGTCCGCCCGCCCAACTTGCGCCGAGAAAAGTACAAGAAAGGAAAAAGGAAAAAGGAAAGAGGAAAGAGAAGGCCAAAGGATGGGATTTGACAGAGGAAAGGAGGGAAAAGGAATGGAACAGGAAAAGGGCTGGGCCTAGAGCTTCATGGCTTCGTCGCGCCATGTCCACCAGCTTCCTCCGCAGCACTTCATCGATGTCTGCAGGGCATTGGCGATCCTCGGCACAGGTCCTGGATCACCTCATACTCCTCATAAGGTGGGAGATGGGAAGGTGAGAAATGGTTTTGAGCGGGTCAAGTTGACTTGCTCGACCTGCAACTGCGCTGACCCCGATTTGGTGTGGAAAAGGATGGAAAGGCAATGTTTTTGGGAGCCCAAACTGGGGTTGAACTCGAATTAGAGCTGGACGCCAAAGCTTCCCCACCGACGAAGTCCATGCCATTGGCGGTGCCGTCTGGGCTGGAGATCTTGTCAGCGGACGTGCGGATGGGCTGCTTCCTCAACACGGCGCTGACCCTCACAAACGAACATCGAACCTGACCATCACTGGCTTGTAGAAGGAAGTCCTCTTCGAATTGATGTTCATCTTCCATGTTGGCTTCTGGCTTGCCACACATGAGAACCTAAACCCTGAGCATCTCGGGCTCAACGGCCAAGGGGCTTGTGACCCAGGAAGTACTCTATAACAGGCAGGAACTCCAGCTCATCATCCTCTCCGTCCACCACGCCGATCCTGAGAAACACAAGCTGGAGACCTGAACTATGATCTATAGTGGAATCACCTGAGCAGTCGATGGATTTATGCATGAATTTTCCAAGTTGACTTCGATAGGGCTGCTCTGCACCAAGTCTCCTCAACTCTCGGCCCAGGGGGATGAATTGCTCGCAGAGGAGCTGGTCATCATACTTAAATCCTTCCTGAGACAACTTGCACCAGTCCGTCCGTCTCACCTGTAGAAAGCTTGTTCTTCTAGCGACCACAGAACCAAGTCATATCAGCCATGATCAATCCTTTAAAAATCCTCACTAAGATTCTTGGCAGGTCCTAAGGAAGGTCAACTTTGGACGTGGCACAATGAGCGCCGATTCGATGTCGGACTCCGTTTGGACGAGTGTGATGCCCATTGAGTTGTCCTCGCCTCGCACGCGCGTTAGACAATTTTGGAAGCCATGGCCCTTCGAATTGGAATGACATCTGTGAAAGGCCCTCACATTCAGATGACCCTGCAACGGCCAGTTCATCAGTTCCTATGGTCACCTTGCATCAATTTAAATCTCGGGAATGCAAGAACTTGCATTGTGAGGGTGGATGGACACAGCTCCATGAGACAAGTCCATCACTCGAGCAGGAACACCAAGACGTGCATCAAGGCCATAAAGAAGGACTACAGTCAGTGCATTACTTGGAAACAGAAGTTTCAACTTGAAACTTTCACTCATTTCATGCCCTCGACATCCCAAAACAACGGGGGGAACAAAGACTTCTAAGCGAACAGATCCAGACGAGGACACGGCATGGCTTGATGATCAACGGCACCCTCATCTCAACCTGGACCGGGCCATTGAATCATCTTCACTGGGTCCATTCAATTCATGGGAAGTGCATCCTTTCATGCCCAATCCATCGCATAATTTGCATGATGCATACAAACTGCTTTCATCTTTGCCCCTAAATGGCCAGTTTCGAGAGGGAAATACTTCATTTGAGAGTGGGAGACATCACAGAGTTCAAGATTGGTCTTTTGAGGTCTGCGAACCTTTTGATGTCAACTAAGTTCACATCTTGTCCAGGTCTTTGATCTCAGACCCCATGCCTCAAGGCTCTGCCCGGCCTTGTCGCCAGGTCTCAAAAGTTGCGCCTTGGGCACCGACACTCCGTGGCTCGCCACCACAGCGCGGGACTGCCACTTGTTCGTGGTCAAGGCCTAGGGTCTGGAGAAGCTTGGGAGTGTGTTTTTGTTGTCTGATATTTACTCGTTTTTAGTTCCCGAGAGCTTAGGCCGGCTTTCCTGAAGTCCTAACAGGTCCATTCCAGGTCCGAACTTCATCCTACTTCGCCAATGAACTTTCCAACCTCTGGCGCTCTAGTCATTCCAAAACTGCAAAGCCGGAGCTCGCACGGTGGTCGCGTATTGGGCTCCTTTTCACTTGAACTCCAAAAAAGTCTGCAAAGGTCAGGATTCAAGTCTTGACATGTATCCGAAGACCTAAGGACCTCAAACTGCATGCCAGTCTTACCTACACCTATACATGGCCTGACATGCATGTAAAGTTGCCACCCCCCTTAGAGCTGGCTTGCTGTACTGCCGCTCACGGGAAAAAGTGGTTGGAGAGGTGCCTACTCAGATAGGCGGTTCCTCCCGCTCAGTTGGTGTCCTCCTCTGGGCTGTTCATGTCCTGAGGGTTGTCTTAGTCCGAAGGCGGATCTTCCCGCTCATTATGCTGAGGCTCAGGTTCTTGTTCAGGTGCCTCGCCACCTCACAATCCACTCACTGCAGACCTGGCAGGTGAACAACGTTCTGATGTTGCTGTCCTCACTGTTCGCCAGCGTTGGACACAATCTCCTAAGGTGGAGTCGACTGCCATGTCTTGCGAGCAGAAAATGGTCTGTGGGCGATCCTCCTGCTGCTCTTGGTTCCCGATCCACCCGAGATCTCGCGAAACCACGTCATATATTGCCAAAAACCGGCTGCCACAAGAAGCATCAGGAGAACATAGATCTCCCAGCGCACGGTGTCAGACCTTGCAGGGCTGCAGGCATCTGCGGCTTCCAAGTCTTAGCTTGCTCAGAGACCTTTGATACCTTGACATTGATGCGCTTATACTCGCCGTCATGCTCTATCATTCCATGGGACGGCAGCGCTGCCGGCACATCCGTGCCGGTCTTGGGATGCTTGGTCAAGAAATTGGCCGGGTTCCACAGAGCTTTGACCTTGCCGATCCCAACTTTCTTGGCTTGAAGTGCTCCTTGGATGTAGAACTCGCTCACATCGAGTTGCCGATCAACTTGCTTCCAGGACCAATCCGCTTGGCCGCTTGCATGGTTGCTGACGAGTCAGTCCACAGCTTGGGCCGCGCGACTCTCAGACTGAAGTCTAGACAAGAGAGGTCATGCAGGAAGATTGCCTCCCTGGCTCCCCCTCGACGCTCCTCTAATCTCTGCGTCGGATGATCTCAGCTGGTACGACGGCGCCTCCCAGCACTGCAACGTAGCAGTCGGTGCTGTATCGGGTCTCCAGACATCCTGCCCAATCACTGTCAGTGAAGACGTCCAGGCGTAGCTCACCCCAGCATCAAGGGTGATCACTTTGACGATCTTGGGATGCCCGCCGCGTTCCAATTGCATTCGCTTGGCACTGATATCCTTCTGGCTAATTCTTTGGTTGCAAACTGGATGTCTCGCCTGTCGGCTGAAAGGAAAATTGCTGACCCAACAGCGCTCCTAAACTTCGTTGCCCGAACTTCATCTAGTGGTTCAAGGTGCAACAAGTCTAGCTGCTTGCTTGGAACTTCGGGCCCATCCTTCGCTGTGATGCTCAGCGCGGCCTTGATGTTCTCAACATGCTTGGGATCTGCCTCTGGCTTGATCTTCGTGCGCCCTGCACCTCAACGGCGGCGCCAACCCGCTCTGGACCTCACAGTGCTTTCGGAACTCCTCCTGGAAGAGAAAGTTCAGGCGCTCTTCAGGACCTGCTGCCCTGATGTCATCGATGTGATGAATCAGCACCACGTGTGTCTTCTTGCGCCTAAAGACACATGGATCCTTGACCCCACGCTCGAACTGAAAGCGCTTGCTGAACTTGCCAATCATGATCTCCTCAGATCCAGCGGTCCTTCTGCCATAAAGATTCCCATCTAAACGAAAAAGGATACCTCGGAAACGATGCTGATATCGAGACCTGTCGGTTGGTGGCAAAGTTGCCAGCCATTCGTGGAACAGATCATGCCATTCCACAGGCGCACGCGCATACACCCAGTTGCGACGATGTCGAGTGACCACGTCATGTAGCCATACAGTAGAGCATAGACTCCCAGAAGAGCATGGCTTTCTGGCGTTGGCGTAGGCACGAAGACATTCATCTCTGCATCCTGCTCTTTGGCGCAGCGTGCTCTATTTAATACCTGCACAAGTGAAGCATGACTTGTACTTACCACGGCTGTTCTTGTCTACCCACCATAGTGACCAAACACTTGTGCTCCCTTAGGGACTTCTTGCTTCAGTACTGGGGTGAAAGCGTGGCGATCCCTCCTTGCGTGCACAGGGGTTCGCACTCCCCTGGGACTCTCCCCTGGCCTGCACAGCGCTCCACACCTCCAGCCCACCTCGGAGCCGGCGCTGCGGCTTCGACTTCCAGAGCCTCGACCTTGCACCGTCCTCACCTACGCTCAGTAAAACGCCGTCAGCTGCTTCTGCTGGCTCCTCGCCTATCCGCGACGCTGGCATGACCACAACTTGGGAAGTCTCGGGAGACCTTCCCGTCGCCTGGCTCCCATGGTAGCCCACGCATATCCCGCATCAGATCTGAACCGATCTGCTCAGGCTTGGGGAGGCGGTGGACGGACCGCACAGCTATCTCCGGCCGACGCATCTGTAGCCGGCGAGCGCCGACATGTCCCTGGAGAGCCTTGGCCACTGCTCCTACTGCATGCTCTGCCTCTTCGGCGCTTCGACACCGGTGTGGGTTTTCTTTACTCGTCCCACTGACACGGCCAACAAGAAGTTTGCCGAGAAGGTCATGGAGAACTACGAGCCCGGGGTCTGCGCACCATGGCTGAAAAGGAAGGTGCGTCAGCGCATGCGCCGCTCGCTCAGCAGCTGTTGGCTCTGCTGGCACGGCGGGGCCTCCCGGCGGGACTGGGTCGATGACCTCTCCCTCGAGATCACCTCCTGACCCTTCTTCTTTGTCCGGGTCACGAGATGGTTATACAGCATCTCATGGTCCGGACGTTCGAGCGCGGCACAGGCTTCCACCGCAGCTGCTTCCTCGTCTAGCACAGGAGCGATCTTGACTCGCCTTGAGGGCTTGCCACTGAACTCGCATATCGCAGGATGAACTGCTTCCCTTGACGGTTCACCTCCATCGGCCCATTGGATGAAGCACCCATCAGGTGAAAACACACCACAGTGCCTCCAGCATCTACGGCCCTGTTCACGCTCAGGATGTTGTCCGTGATCCCCTCAACTACCTGGAAGGTGACCGTCACATCCTGGCGGTGCTCCCGGCTCCCCACATTGAGGAAGGGGCGGCATTCCTCGCGCGACCTGAGCCGAGTGTCATCAACCACCGAATAGAGATCCTGCTTAGCCACGCAGGCTCCGTCGCCTCTGCTCTTGGTTCGAACAACATCACTGCCCAAACCGCAGTGCCAACAAAAGGCGCATGACGGTTCTGGAGAAGCTTCCAGTTCTTGCGGCGCTCTGTCCGCTTCCATCTCCCCTTCTTCCACACCCAGGTAGTGCGAAGTGAAAACACATCGCTCTCCCGACCTGGCGTGGCATGGTTTCGCACTTGGTTTTGCTTGCCACGCACCACGAACACCTTGGCCTCTGGCAGCTCGTGCCATCCAGGCTTGTCCCAAAGCTGCAAGATGCTGCAAGGGATTTAAGGGATCATCCTTAGTTTCTCGGGGCTGGTCCATCACGGTCCGCACACCTGGTGAGGCCGGCATGGTTGAAGCTTGCGATCCAACCTGCGACGCGGAGGGACCCGCAGACAGCGTGGAAGTGGCGTCATCGTTGACGTTGTTGACGTTCCGCTGGTGCTGCTTTCCATGGTCTTCGCCTTTGCCCTTGCCCTTGGCGTTATACCAACACTTCTCGGTGGTGTGGGCGTTGCTCCAGCAGATGGCGCACTTTGGCTTTTCATGGTCTTTGTCTTTGTTGCTCTTGCCTTTGCCATCTTTCCCACTTTTGCCTTTGTCACCACCCTTATGCATCCCTTCCCATCGGCTTGCCCTTCTCTTTGTCTTTTTGGCCTTTCTTATCATCGAGCTTGCCGATGTCGATGGCATTGGGGTCTCTTCTAGCGGTGCCTCCCGCATATGTGGCTTGCGGCATCCACGCTTGTTTGGCTCGGAGATATGATACCACCACAATGCGAACACCCGCATACTTGTCAAGGCTCACGGTATGCATAGCAGTGCTGCTTCAAAGTGCCTGGGGCTTCAGTCACGAGGACTGCGCTCTTGTCTCTTGTCTTCATCTGCGATGGCCTTCTCAGACCCGTACTCGGACTCATACTTTCCCAAGTCTGCCTCCCATTCTTGGAGGGCTGCACTGAACTCCGCCTCTTTCGAGGAGTGCTCTGCGCCACATCAGCGCCTTGCTGTGGTTCTCAGGCGCAAACTCTCGCCATAGGAGTCTCCACAGCTCATATCCGTTTTGCTGTCTGGTCCCGCGTGACAGCTTGGCTGCCGCAGGACAGTCTTGCGCCCAGCTTGCCAACATGGCAAACAACTTGGTGGACTGATCTGTCTCAGACGCGGTCATATCCACAGGGTCAAGAAATGTCTTCGACTTTCTTGCCTTCTCCATGGAGTCAGGGAGTGTCCCATCCAGAAACGCTAGATTCTGCACCTGAAACGCAAACATTGCTGTTTCATAGCCCGCGTGACATCGATGTGCTTGAGGTACGAACCTCGCACACCGCTGCTATCAGCGTCGGCCGCGGCGGTGCCGCTTACGGGCACAGCCGCCGCCTGTACGGTCGTTCTGGCCACTACGCTGGCCAGCTCTTGGTGGCTCCGGACGAGCTCTTGGCGAAGCTCCTGCTGAGGGGCCTCTCTTTGGCCTGCAAGGTTGTGGGTTAGAGCTTGCACTTGCTGCGTCAGCCTCCCCACCATCTGAGCCATCCGGCGTCGCCATCTGAGCCCAAGACTCTTTGGAGTTCGCCGCTCAGAGCTTCGGCCCGTTCTAAGGCGGCTTGGACCGGATCCTGCTCTGGTGGCGGTTCTGCCTGCCCAACCGTTTGCACCTGGCTGGCTGCCTGGCGCGTGCGGCTGTGCGCGGGAATGCCCGCTGCGTGCAGCGGGGGTGAAGCGAGGCTTTGCTGATGCCTCTGCTCCCGGGCTTGAAGCCTATCCTGGGCTTCTTGGGATGGTTCGACTGTAACCGTCCTCAGGGAGTTCCACTCGGACCCAGCTTTCGCCGACTCCGGCGGATCCACCCGCACGATTCTCGCTCTCAAGCGAGCTTCTATTTGGGCTGAAGTCTGGCGCTTCAACCACCTCACCGTCCACGCTCAAGGAACTGTGCACTGAGCCGCTGGCTGGCACTGCTAGCAGAGAACGGCCTTGGCCGCGGTGCTACCCGCAAACCAGGAACTCAGTGGAGTTCCTGAGGGATGCTCTGACCTGAGAAGGTGCAGAGCTCCGCTACCATGCAAAGCCGGAGCTCGCACGGTGGTCGCGTATTGGGCTCCTTTTCACTTGGGCTCCAAAGAGTCTGCAAAGGTCTCCACCTACACCTATACATGGCCTGACATGCGTGTAAAATTGCCAAAAACGCTCTAAACGTTGCTGTTGGATACCGCAAGGTGCTTGCATCCCAAGGCACCATGACCTCTCCGGGAGAGCCAACCATGGGAATGTCCAACAATTCCGCGATGCTCCGAGTCGACACCATGCCCTTGTAGTCGAACATATGGGGCTGCACACCTCGATCAGATTGCCCCCTGTGTGGCTCCAAAAATATCAACTTTCCCTGGAGGTTCTCCATTCACCCCCCTCAACCCCAAGTCCACCATCCAAACCCAGGTGCAGGCGATCTTCTCGCGACCCAACTGGCCCAGGGCCTCTGGTAAGCTGAGCCGTTCCGCATGGTCCGCCTTGTCCAAGGAGGTACAGAGAGACCAAGTGCCATCGAGCCGGGCCAAGAGCACAAGATGGTCGAGCTCGGGCAGGGCCGCGATACATCCAGGAGCCTGGGCTGAGAGGTGAAGTGAGCCAAAGGTCGGCAGCTATGGTTAAATGGAGCTTCAAATGAAAGATTGCACTTTCCATCACTTTTCCAAACGTTGGTGACTTGGCCAACCTCAAAAGCTCTCAAGGTCGCCGTTGGCACCCACCCAGCCAAGCAGCATACATGACTCGTGACACGCCATAGTAGTAGTCGCTAGTTTGTGAGCCCACCAAATGGAGGATCTTGCCATTCATGGCCCAGCGAAAATCAGGAGGCACCGCTTGAACCAAGGAAGCTGGCTGGGTAATCTTCAGCTTTGAAGTTCCTACCAAACATCTGACGTCCTATCCCCAGAGGCAATCTACATCTTGGACCGTGCCAGAAGTCTTCCCCACAGCTGGCGCAGCTTCTGCAATCGTCCGTGACGCTGGAACCCAAAACAGGAGGCCAAGCTGTTTCCACGGACAGCTGTGGTTGGCACTACATGATTGAAGACGTACCGCTCGAAATCCCAACTGAAGACCGTCACCTTGCCCTAGTTGGCCAATGGACCAGTAAAACAAAACCCTGGGATTCAGGGTCGAACAAGGTATAGTTGTTTGTGAGCGTGGCTTCTTTGCACGTGCGGGGCAAACTTTGCCACTCGACGGATGAGACAGAAAGGTTCATAATCAAACATCACACTGTTTAGATTGGATCTTCATCCTTGCCATGGCCATGGGCTTCCTTCTAGATCAGCCTGGCTCGTCTGAACCTCAGACTCTAGTCCTCACCACCCACGTGTGTGAGCACATAAGGTTTTTGAATGGAGAAAGCACTAGCCAGAGGCCTAGACCCTGAAGAGATCAACGAGTTATGTATCCAGGCCACAATGACGAAATCTATGGTTTGGACGACTCCGGAAGATGACTCTGAGCGAGGTGCATTCCCCTCCCGATGGCCCTGTTGAACCTCAACCACTTTGGCTCTCTCCAAGGGCCATGCGTTGAATTTGACATGCTCATCATGATCATGTCGCGATATAATATAGAATATAGCGAACGGGAGGTATACTCCGAGCCAGTAATATAGAAGATATTAAACGATGTGTTCAAAAAGAAGCAGCGAGTCGGGCGGGACTTCAACGACGTTTCAAATAGAAGATATTGGTCATCACAAGAGGTCCCCAGAACCGTTGTTTTTTTGCCGGATCAGGGTCTCCAAGCCCTGCCCCGGGCCTAATATCTTCTATTTGATCTGGAGGGGGGACATCTTGAAGACATGTCCAAGCAATGCATATTTATGTGGCTTCGGCTTCGGCCGGCATTATCTTCCGTTTGATCGGTTACGGAGGTGAGAAGAATCATCGCAACATGGTCCTCCGAAAACCCGGTCCGGCGGAGCATCTGTCGGTAAATTGCCTTCTCGGAGTCGTAAACGGAAAACCTTCAAAAAACCCTCAGTTTTTTAGCTCTCCCGGAAGCCCGGGGGTTCCCATCCGGGGCAAGATCACTGTGGATCCGTCCAGGCAAAGAGTCGGTTCAAATAGAAGAAATATCGTGTACCATCAAGGGTTCAAATAGAAGATATTGCAACGAATAAATGTTTGGAGACCACCAGCCGAGCAAAAAATAAGGGAATTTATTCTATTTGAAATCCAGATCCACAGAACGTCTTTTTATCTTTCTTTTCACGGTGATGAATGCTTTCTTAGCATTCGTACCGCCTGCTCCA